TCGTCCAGATTATGTATGAGCTCCTCTTCCCCATCGGTTTTCTTAAGAAACACGCCCACATAAGGCTGGTTGAGCTTCACCTTGCGTCGCAAAAGATCCATGATAATTGGATTCGAGACCTAAGTAAAAATTAACACATGAACGCAATCATAAAAGAAAGTTCTAGATAAGCAATCAACCTCGACTATTTTCATGAACCGTGGGAACAGTGGATTTCGTCGCATCGCTAACATCGGCACGTGGGGCCATACATCGGGCACGGCAACCGTCGCCGGCAGTTGTTGCGAGTCACGATGATCGGCCAGCAGCTCAGGCTCTGCTTCGGCCATCAAGTCATCTTCGTTATCGTTGCGCTTGCGGCTGAAGAAGCGCTGTGTCTGCATCATAGAGACTGCACCATTGTATCGCAGCAACCTGACTTCTTTAAAATATTCCACCATGCAATTTTGTGTATGACGATGGCGAGCGCAGGCAGCTACAGTGGATAGGCCCCGGAGCGCGGCGCGAACACGTACAGCACGCGAGAGCATTTTCCAATTATTTCTGTACACAAACAAACGGCAATTTATTTAAAAAAAAACTGGAGCCGAAGCCGCAAAGAATTAAAGTGTAAAATGATTATGTGATAGCGCTGATGAAATGACAGCACCGCGCGACGATTCTGCTGCATAGCAATCGATAGAAATATCGATTTAAGGTAATTACCAACACATTTATACGTTATTTTTGTAATGAATACTCTATTATAGCTCTATTATAGCTCTATTATGTAGAGTAATATGGCTAAAATGCAAATATATTTTTCATAAAACACGCAACATTTTATTTAAATTGGAATCACTCCAAAATGTTCCCACTGRAAGCAAACGTTTTTATCCATCGATACTTGATTTATTAAACACATCCCTATGAGCTATCGAATTGTCAAGGTGTCGCCAACAACAACACATCCATAGCAAAATCGAAAGTAAATAGAAAAATAGTGCAATTTTTCCATATTCTGACGACAAAATGGTATCGCGTTTCGATCAGCAAAAAACCAAGCACCAGCTCTTCCATGTGTCGATCAGTCTGGCTACCATATTGATATGCATGACCTACATGCAATATCGCCGGAATTGGGCTCATCTCGGAAGCTTTTGGGACTCCCTGATTGTTCCGATTGTGTTTATTGGTGAACTGCTGAAAGTAATACTAGCCCGGTTCTTTGGGCGCATTGAGGACGGCGTGCTAACTGCCAAACAGCGACAGAAAAAAGCTGCATACTTCACGCCACGCGAACTGCTCGGCGGTCTAACGTTGCAATTTCTGTGCACACTACTCTACGCATTTATTTGCATCATTCTGGGTGCACCTGTGCTGGCKAACTATGARCAGACGTTCGTGTTGTCGCTGCTAATGACTCTGCTCACAGTTTCACCAACTGTTTTCCTACTCGGCGGCGGAGGCGCTCTGCAAGTGTGCTTCTGTGAGAAGCCAGACTTCATAACCAAATGCGAGGACACGGCGCTGCATTTATTCAAGTACAATGCACTTGGCGGCATTCTGGGCGCCTGGGCTGGCAGTGTGGTGGCTCCGCTGGACTGGGGACGCGACTGGCAGGCCTATCCCAT